GGTGGGGGGTGGGGTGGGGTTGTTGCTTCGTGGTCAGTGGTGATGCAGGGAGCTGAGCCCTTTTCACATGGTAACAGGACCTTTCTTTCTCTTGAGCAGCCAGGACGCCCCAGACTCGGGTGACCATCCGGACAGTGCGAGTCCGCGGGCCCCCAAAAGGGAAGCACCGGAAATTCAAGCACACGCATGACAAGAAGACACTGAAGGAGACCCTGGGAGCCTAGGGCCGTTTGCAAGAGAGCGCGGGCAGGTGCGGAAACGGAGGCCGAGGGCCTGCTGTCCTTCTCCCTGGGCCTGGGGCAGGGACGTTAAGGAATATACCATCCTGCCCTCACCCCTCACCCTTCTGCTAGGTAGACAGCTGAGATGGGGGGGTGTGTGTGGTGGGGTTCAGAGTCCCCAGCCCAGCTGTAGCCCAGCATGTTTGCATCCCAAGGCACTGCAACTCTCCCAGACCCAGTGCTGCAAAACCAGGGTGGCTAGTCCACCCCAGCTCCCTGGTCCTGTCTGGGGACCACTGCAGTGGCTGGTCCTTCTCTCTCTGATCGCTGTGCCTCTCTGCTTTGCTTGCAGGGTTATTTAATATGGTATTTGCTGTATTGCCCCCATGGGGTCCTTGGAGTGATAATATTGTTCCCCTCGTCCGTCTGTCTCGATGCCTGATTCGGACGGCCAATGGTGCTTCCCCCGCCCCTCTCCACATCCGTCCACCACCAGCGGGTCCCCCCAATGGCCTCCAGCATCTTGCCCTGCAGTTCGAGGAGGACACGAGTGACCAGAACTCCGTCCCTGCCTCCTTCCTGTTCTTGAGGGTCCAGGATGAGCGTGCATCGAGACTGACAGCTCACTCTTTTGGGAAGAGGTTTCCCCTGACTCCCAGCCCGACCCCAAGTGCTGAGGACCGGCCGAGGGGCCTGCTTGTGGCTAGAGGACCTCGCAGTGTGACGGATGATCCCTGAAACTCGGGCCAACTCCTAGGGAGACACCTCAAGCAGCTTGGGGGGGGGCACTTGCTGTGACTTGGATCACGTGGGGGAGCACAGACTGCAGAAAAACCTCCATGGTGGCCAGGCCCGGTCTCCGCCTCTCACTGACCACCTCGCTCATAATGGCTTCTTGGCGTTTCCTACGGATGAAATCTTCAAGAGTGGACTCCTCCCCCCGGCGGGTGAGGCTGGAGCACCAGGCGACCGAGTACCCTCTCAGGCAGCTCCGCGATGAAGCTGGCTATCGGGGTGGACGGAGATGGTGACCTGGGCACCCTGCCTCCTCCCCACTCCCCTCCCTTCACTTCCTCTTGTCTCCTTTCATCTCTCTACCTCTACTGGCACCTCCCTTGATTCTAGCAATCTAGTCATCTCTACCAAGGGGCTTGTAGACCCCTTATTGAGGCCCCAAATGGCTCCATTCACTCCCTAGAGCAGAGGACCAGGGGCCAAGGTGGCAGATGGCCTGTCCATCCTATTCCAGCCCAGTCAAGACTGCCATGGAAGGAGGTACAGGGTGTGCACTGCACAAGGGCCCCCACGCAGGGCCCCATTCACCCCAGATGCACTGCCGATGTGTATTTATTAGGACAGTTTTCTGGTAGATGGAAGGAAGGTGTCTTAAGGAAGGGGATCCTTTTCTTAATTCACACGAAGGCTCTCTGTGGATTGGCGGGGCCCTTAGGGGACGAGAGTGGTCCCACAGGAGTGAGCCCGTGTGGGGGTAGGGAGATAACTGGCACCCTCTGCCTCCATTTCCTATTGTCCTTAGCTCCAGGCTGCCCCTTCCAGGCAGGGGTGCAAAGCCCAAGAGACGGCCTCCGACAGAGGGGCAGCCCCTCACCCCCAGGCTGCACACTCCTAGCTTAGCCCCTATCCAGGCTCACCTCGGGGACTCTTCCCAGGGCACCAAGTCCTGGGCTGGGAGGAGGGGAGAAGGAAAGGTCCCCAGGGCCCTCTAGAGGGGGGAGGGTTATCCGAGCTTCAACCTCCTTTTCCACCATCTACTGCACTTTCTCCCCTCCCCCTCTCCGAGATCTGCTTCCTTCAGTTTGTAAAAGTCGGTGATTATATTTTTTGGGGGCTTTCCTTTTATTTTTTAAATGTAAAATTTATTTATATTCCGTATTTAAAGTTGTAAAAAAAAATAACCACAAAACCAAACCAAATGAATCTGCTGGAGGTCTGTCTGTTGGCGTTGTGCTTGGCGCTGAGCCTTCTCACAGTGACGGTGGGCCACCACCCTGCCTGCTGCCGGTGGCGAGAGGACACGCACTCGGGTGTGCGCACTCACGTTTGTGTGCGTACACAAGGCCTCCACGTATGCATCCGTTCACACACAAATACCCACGTGAATGTGCACACACGTGTGTGTACTTACTCCTGCATGCACACTCACACAGGCTTCCACACGTGCATCCATTCACACACGTGCACGAGTGTGCATGCACACCCACACTTGCAAGTGCACACACATGTGTGCATGCTTCCACATACATGCTCACATACCCAGATGTGTGTGTGCTTGTGCCCACACTCACATGCATGGGTGCTCAGATATATGTACACACTCATCATCGTGTCCACCTGCTCGTGGACACACACACACATATATATGCGTGTGTGCTCTGCGTGCACTCTGGTACTTGTGTACACACATTTTCACATATGCACATGTGGACAAATGCACCCAGACACATGACTTTTGGCTGCTCTGGGGGGTAGGAGTCATGCAGCAGCTCCGGACACACAAATGTCTCTGTCCCAGCCCTGGAGGGAATCAGAGACGAATTTCTCCATCTGAGGAAAGCAGACCCCAGGGTCATGATGTGAGGAGGGGCACCCCACATGGGGAAGGGAGAGGAGGTCTCTGAGGGGCTGGGAGCTTTAGAAGGAAGTGTAGCTGGAAGTCAGCATGTCAGATCTGGTCTCAAGTGGCCGTGAGCAAGTCACATTTCCTTTCTGGCCAGAACCTCTAAAACTTACGAGGACCAGAGCACTGTGCTTTCCTTGGCTTGTGAAGACCTAGGTGCCACCACACAGACAAGATGCCAAATATGCAGACAGGTTGGGACTAAAAAGGAGGGTAGGAAGTTGCGTTGCTTTCCCAAAGACATGTGATTGAAGGCCATGAGCTGCTCCTCGGATGGGCAGTTTCCTTCCATGCAATTTACTGCCTCTGACAACTCACTGGAGGGTCGGCTATGAGTTGATTCCGACCTCATGGCACACAACAACAATGGAAGATGCAAAAAATCGAAACTAATTGCTGATTGCTAGTGAGCTCCCTGTCACTGGAGGCGTGTAAGGGGGATCTGGGTGAAAACCTTTTGAGAGCCTCATTTAGGCAGAATCTACCCCCTTCCCCCTGAATGCCTAGTGCCTCATTCTCGGGGTGCCAGGGAACATTGGGATGAGAGAAAAATTATAGGTGGGCTTGGGACCCCATACATCCCCCCCCTCCAACAGCTGGGCTACTCCACAGGTGGCTGCAGGGACTTCTTGGCAGGAGCAAGCGGAGCTGTCCACATTTCCTCCATCCTGAACATCACCCTATGTGGCCACAATACTGAGCCTGTAGAATCCCAAGGGCTTGGCGGGCCCTCTCTGGGTCCTGGAACCACCCGAATAAAATGTTATTCTTTAAGAAACCCCTCTTCTGGGAAGAAAACAATGCCACCTTTCTCTCTGCACTGTGGGATATGGATGTGATGTCTGGTGTTCAGGCAGCCATCGTGAACCATGAGGTGAGAGCCAGGTAATGTTGAGAAGCGAGATACCAGTCCTCAATCGCCTTGCTCAGGACTTTTTCTGTGGTGAAGTAGAGGTCAGTTGTTTGTTGTGTTGTGGTGGTTTTTTGTTTTGCTTTTTAAGAATTAATATTATTGTATTTTTATTGTTACAAATACTGCCTCCAACTCAACAACAACTGTTTGGGTTTAGGAGTATTTCTGGGGGTATTTTTGGGTTAAAACTAACAGACTGTCAGGACAATAGCTTCATCCACCGTAGTTCCCTTCAGCATCACTGGCTCCAGAACAGTTCTAACTTCCCTGAGATTTTGCATTTATGTTGTGCCTTTTTCTTGTTTTGATCAGAATTCCTTCATAAACACTTGGGTCAAAATGTTCAGTGGGGGCAGCCCGGTGCCTTCCATTCTGCTTTGTCCATGGCCACGCAGCCGGGTCCCTCTCATTCCTGATCCCCTCCTCCATCTGTTGCTTGAGGCGGATAGCCCTGGATGGCTGTTCACAGTAGCTCGGAATTATTATTTTTGTAATGTAAGAAAGAAACACATTTCTTTCTGTTTGAGTTCTTATTTTGCAATTTTGGTCACAGGCAACTGAACCTAATCCAAAAAGATAAACCTGGTCATTTTGGGAGAAGAGATAATATGGCCGCAGCTGGGCTGTTTATACTTCCGTAGCGTTTTACCATTCCTCCTTATGAACCCTCCCCCTCTACCCAGTGTCTGCCTCGTCTCATATCTCATTTCCACTCCTGAGCAGTCTTCCCTCACTGTCCCGCCTCCAGCCCTCCAGCCATCCAAGCCCAACAAGAACTAGGAAAGCTCTGAGCCTTTCTTGGAAACTCAGCATTCTCTCAGCCTCATAAAATAATAAAACAATGAATATTTACAGCTTACAAAGGAAAACATTCAAAGGCAGTTAGTACAAGTCTGCTTCAAGGCTGAGAGCAAGCAAAATGATGGCCGAGGCTTAGTGAGGCAGAGGGCCTGCTGGGCTGGGGGAGGACCTCCCGCACCCCCTCTCCTCCACGGCAGAGCTCCTGGAGCCCAACTCCACTGTCCACCCCTGATACCCTGTCTGGGGCCGGGGAGGGACGTGGTTTCTATGATGCTACCCTGTCAGGTCAGGAATCCCAGGACCTCAGCGCCTTATCTGTGCAGAAACCTGCTCATATTTCCAATTTACCAAGGAGCGGCTGGGTGGAAAGTCATTCTCCCCCCACGTCTCTGTGGGGCTTTGTCAAAGGCCCTGTCTGCAGGCCTCCAGTCAAGTCTCAACTCAGCAAATCCTCCCAGGTCCAGCATTTCCCAAGAATCAAATCTTGAAGAGACTTGAGGTTAGGGTTAGAATCTCCAGAATCTTTTCTTTTTACCTGTTCTGTTTCTCTCCACATGTTTATTGACATTCATTTGTTGCCAGCTGGTTCACTAAGCAGGTCCCTCTTTTTTTTTCATTGTCCCTCTTTCTGATGGAAATTCCAGGTGGAAT